TTGGCTCTTATGGTTTTTCTTTTATTTAGGTAGTAATACTTAAGCATTAAATTAGTAGACTATAGTTATTTTTTTATTTGTTAAAAACTTGGAAGGCGATCTCTTCAAGAAGTTTTTTGTCTTCTGTTAACGGTCTAGGTGTCTGGCAAAATTGGAGTTCAGCTATTTATATAGAAACTATTTGTTGCAAGCCTCATGCACAAGCGATTTAAGGAAGCCTCGTTTTGAATAATTAGGATTTTTTAACTTGGGTAAACAGTTTTTATGTGGCATTTAGCTTTCTGATTTAAAACTCGTTTTTTTTAAAAAACTCAATTTTATTTTATTCAAAATAATTTATTCAAGATAAAATTCAATTAGTAAAATCCGGCAAAGTTTAATTCAAAATCTCTATCAACCTAGGGCTGTTTTTATTTATTTTTTTTTACGTAATTTCAAAACATGTAAACGTATTCTATGTCTTTAATTTTCTTAAGGGTAAAATTGTAAATCAGTAGTTACTTATCATAATTTCAAAACATGTAAACGTATTCTATGTCTTTAATTTTCTTAAGGGTAAAATTGTAAATCAGTAGTTACTTATCGTAATTACTTTTGCTTTAAGTTATGTCGCGTGTCAAATTAAAACCTGTTTATCGAGATCAGTAAAATTTCTTTTTATTCTTATGTTTAAAAAAATGTTTTTTGAATTATTCCTTTTAACGTTTTGAAACCTTAATGGTCCCAGGTGCTACCTGTAATCTTAAATGTTCGAATTGTAATTCTTCCGCCCCCCCCCGTCGATACCGTTGACGTCGGTTGACGAAACTAGTTAATTTTGGGGGGGGAGCAGTGAGAAGTGTTGGTATAAATAAAAGCATAGTTCTGTGATACAGATAGATGTTCATCAATTTTAGTGCACTAAATTGACAAACTGAAAATGGATAGATAAGCGCCTTTCTTCAGAAGACTAGAGATTCGATTTTCTATCGACGATAAAACAGGAGACAAGACGGGAGGTTATCCTGTATCTTTCTAGCACCTCTCCTAATGTCGTTCTCTTTTTCCGGAGTCGGAATTTTATGGCCAATTTGTTTTATGGCCCGTGGTTGTCGACTAAAGTGAAAGGTTTGGTCCAACCTTGAGTACGTGATTCTTTTGTTAAGCATAATATAGCTAATATCTGGTGAAGTCTTGAAGTCTATCCCTGGATACAAAGCCGTGGAAATCACGTATGAAGTATTCAGAATTTCATTTTGTTGATTAATATGATGCCTAAATTTTCGCCTTTTAACCAGGATTGTATAAACGAATATACTGAAAATATTTTTTTGCTACAAAATAAGTGTAATTCGCGAACTTAGGGGTAATTAGTACTAGTACTTACTGCGAGTTTGTATTAGTTAGTACTGCTAGAATATATGTAATCCGTGAATACATGCATAAGTTAATTTTAACTATAGTCTACTAATTTAATGCTTAAGTATTTTCTTGCTTTGCTATACAACTTGAAAACAATACGTAAAAAAAATATGTTATGTTAACGCATGAACTCCTGTCAAACATGGAATTGGTAAAATAGCAACAAACCTTAACTATTACTTCCAGTTGATTGTTTTTAATTAAAATCTAATTGGTTTATAAACTTTATGGATGAATGCTAATTATAAACACTACTCCTTTTTTTGTCATTTTTTTTTACTCATTATTTTGAACCTCCCATACAGTGGAACAGATCAGTTCTCACGCTTTGATTTGAAAATATCGAAACGATCGTAGTATACCTTCTGGCCATACAGTGTTTCAGATTCACAAATGAATGACGTAACAATCACAACGTTTTCGGACAGCAACATATCTGTAGAGCAGCGGTCGTCAACTCTTCTAGAGCGGCGGACGACTAATATGAATTAAAAAAAAAACTTAACCTTATAAACGACCTTAAAAACAACATATTAATACGCAAAAACTATATTCAATTTCCCAATATATGTAATTCTGATTTTCATTTGTTAATATAATTTTCGAAACAAATGGTGTTCAGCAGCATGCCTTTATGGAAATTCAGGCTACGCCTCTGATTATGAGTAACAATTAAAACAGTATTAACATCTCACTGATACACATATTTCATCATTTGAAAACTTATATGAAAGTACACAAATCTTACCTTCTTGTACAGAAAGCTGACATATCCATATCACTGAAAAGGTACTTCACGAAAAGTAAGAACAAACCGGCAAACGCAAAGCAATATCAATAAACTGAAGATGTTATTCCGCCAATTTTTAATTATTGTAAACATAATAATCAACGCTTATTCAGCAATGGCGCCATCGATCAACAGTTAGAGAAGACAAAAACGGAAACTTCCAGTGATGCAATTATAAACAAGAATGCAGATGGGTTCTCATAAAAATCCATCAAGTTGTCTATTGTCTATTTAAACTGTGTTATTAAGGACTACAATAGCATACGTTTGTAATTCAAAAGGAAAGAGAATTCCAGTTCACGCTATTATTGATAACGGCAGCATATCCATGGATGCCATCTCTCACTTTTACATGTCGCTAGCTACACCATCAAAAGTAGCTAAAAAGTTGCTAAATTCAGAAGGAATTTCTCTAAAAGTAGTAGGTAAAAAAAAAATAAATAAAAAAGCATAATCCATATTCCATAATAGGTTTTGTTACTCGTCAGTTTTTAAACTGAATCTTCATAAAAATATAAATAACGTCCCAATTTTTCTGCGAACCATCAAAACGTTTTCACGAACCACTTGTGATCCTTGGACCACCGGTTGGCGACCGCTTCTCTATAATTTCCGATAGAGTGTTGAATATTGTTATTCATTTCTTTTTTATATTCGCTATATTATTTATGTTTGTTATATTATTTCTTTGAAAATAATACATAGCAATGGCATTTGGTAGCAGCATCCTTTTATTCGAAAAGTAATTCGACACAAAAGTGAAACGATAACAAAATTAAAAATTGAGGCGAGTACATTTAATTGCTTCTTAAAGAGAGTTCGTAATGAGCTAGCTTACTCTCGTTGCATTTAGCATAATTCCAGGTCTGCATTTAACACTAATAAATATAATTCACTGTTCTCAATCATAGATCTATTTTAAATATTAAATATGAGAAGTTTTGGATTATCTCGTAATATATTTTTTTACACAAATCTGTTCAGAGCTTCAAGTATCACTTCCTATTTATCAGTTTTACCCCAAATCTAATATATTGTTCCCATTGATGTTAAAGTCTTAAATAGTAAAACTGAAGTTTTGGATTATATTTTAATATTGTTTTTCATTAAAAACTGTTATGAGTTTCAAGTAAAGTACCATTTCTGGTTGTCTATTGAAGGCTGTTATGGGCTTCCTGTAAAGTAAGGTTATACAATATTACCTAAAATTTAATCAAACCTTTTTATGAATGTAGACAGCTTAAAGACAAAAAACAGGAAAAAAAAGCTGTTGTGATATTATATGGCATTTATCAACACATGTTCCGAAGCTGTCTAGCATAATCCGGATTGCAGTATTTTCTATTTTGCTGGTATGAACCATTTGAATGCGATAGCGATAGGGTCTAAAAAAGCATTTAAATTTAAACCTTTACTATAGGTATAAATTGAATCTTACAATTTCGTTTTGAAATATTGTCAAATATCTGATGTGAAGTCATCTAAGTGACATGTAGATGACATATCACGCTTGGGGATATCCACATGGTTTGTGTGATTGATGCTTGTAATTTTTTGCATTGTTATGTATGATCTCCATGTCTTCAGACAAATTACACACGTTCACACAGTTCTATATATTTTTTTTCCTCATTTGTCTTTCCGGTGTACTTATGCCAGCGATTTCTGAGATTCAGGTACCGTTTCAACGCCATTTATGGTTTCTTTACCGATCGCATTTGCGGTGAGAGAAAATTGTTACTGTGGGAAAATTTTCGAAATTTGGTAGTTGTAATTGTAACCGTGAAAATTGGACTGTTATTCACATCATCCTTAAGTGTCTACCTTGCAACCCTTGCATTTTGAGTTTCATTTCGATTTGTTAAACCATTCTGCCACTGGAAGTGTGTGGGCAGGAAAAATTGTTATTCTGTGTATAACTATAATAAACCCATCTGTGCTATATATAGCATTTTGTTAATCATTGCTTTTCTCGCGAACAGAAAAAATGCAAACCTCTTAGCATTATTATGAATCTGCATGATACCTTAAGAATATAATAGTAAATTACTGAATTTATGGCTGTAATTCGTAAACAGTTTAAGGATATCGTAGAAGCGACATCATTAGAAATTACTTCCCTTGAGAACTGCGATACAAAAATCAGTCAAAAATGTTGAAATCTTGGAAGTCTTTCATAATGGAAAGTCGCTATTTTCTTGTCTCTAAGCGTCATACTTCACATTCACTATGACCGTAGGGTATAACGTCACTGTAACACAATAGGCCACGCATAAAAAAAATTCAAGGTGTAAAAGGAGAAAATAATTTTTAGAATTGTAGCCTTATAAAAAATATTGGCACATCCTCATACGTTTCTCAGGAGGCTAGATATTGTTATTTTCTCTCGAATGATGTCTTTTTATACAACTGGGCATTTTTGTCATACGACCTCTTGCAGTAACAACGATGCTATGTAATACAACTTTAAGTTAGATAAATGAGGCTCGCCTTGAAAGATGGATATATGATATGCTACGATAGCGTTATCTAAAAACATACTTTATACCCCTCTAGTTGTTTAGCAAAATTCTTCATGTTTTCGAAAGTAGATATCTAGAAAAAAACCTCTAATAGACGCAAGAAAAGTTTGATTTTTCGGTTCGTTCTTAGTTTTAACGAAGTGCGGTTTTGTGTTTCTTTTGTATTTTTAAAGACAAATCTGTGTGTTAAAATATTATTTTGGAAGCTTTGAACAATTCATGCTTTCAAAATAGTATTTTAAACACACAGATTCGTCTTTCTGGGGACAAAAGGAGAAAAACAAATACGAGGTTAAAAATACCATTTTATTCACTGAAGTTGAGTTTACGTTATTTCGCAAAATTTTGTAACATTAATATCTTTAAGCTGTATTAAACAGCTGCTTTTGTCTTCTTTGTTTATCTATTTTAAGAAACAATTGAAGCATAATTTTTAAAATTAAAAAAGATGGAATGCAATTTTTAAAAAATTTTAATAAATCAAAGTATTCTTTTTAGTTTAAAAATCTAACGTCTGCGTCTTTTAATGCATTGTATGATTTTATTTTTCTATATTGGTATAAAAAGATAAAGTACCAGATTCTTTTATCATAAGTTTAATCAAGCAGACATGAAGAAAAAAAAGAAAATAAAGAATAAAAAAATTTTTTTCATTATGCAATAGTTAAACACTTAAGCATATTATCGATGGAATTAATGCATCAGGTCTTCTACTATATTTAGTTTTTATCATTAGTGCATATAATAATTATCTAATCACATTATCCGAAGAAAAAAGAAGGATTTATATCCTTCGCAATTGCATCTAATCTTGTTAGTTTACTGAAAAATTTGAATATCTCAAGGTCAATCATAACTTTTAATTTGTTAAACAATAATAGTTTTAATACTTGTGAAGTATAAAAAAAGGTGTTCATTTTCGGATGATCATTATTTAAATTCTCACAGCTAATCCATTTTTTTAATTAAAAACCCTGCTGCAAAAAGTAAAAGCGTAGTTTCAAGAATCTTTTATTATCAAACCTGCGAACATTTATCCCTCAACTTATCTGCGATTGGAAAAATCTATAAATGTATGCAATTATTAAGCAAAATGGAAATTTTGCTTTTGGATTGCTCCAAAATTTTACTAGCTATTGATAGAATTTGCTTCCTAATAAAAGGCATAAATTCCATTCGATTTTTAAAAACCTCTACGCATTTAGTTCTTTTTCCAGTAGTTTACGAAATAATACAGAAAAACATCTAATTTGTGCATATATATTACTCCGCAAAATTCACCCAGAAGACATCAAATTGCTATTCCTGAGCCAGTGTCTAAACCAGTTCGAAAACTTAAATGTTGTCAGTCCTGATGATAATAAAATGGAGTGCCAAGACAAAAATGAAATTTGGAAATCTTGCACATGATTGTCACTTCTAATACCATTGACTAAACTAGAAAAAGAAAGACTGCCCCCTCTGCTCTGTCCGAGAGAGGTCACTTGGCAAGAGATACGAAACTTTCTCTGAGACACATATCAAGGTTGTATATTACCAGCTGATTCTGACCCCAAGGAAACTGAAACGGAACTTCTTGCCAAAGGACTTCCTATAAAAATTACTCAAGTTACAGAGAAAATTCAAGACACCATGACAAATTTTCTGTATTTTTTGCTTCGGTGATAAGAACAGATAAACGCAAAAGCATCTACTCGTAGAAGACGGTTTTGGAACTGCATGTCAGAATTAGACGTTACAAATCGGGGCGGAAACGCCATGATTTGATTTCGTTGTCAGAGATTTGGCCATGGTCAGATCTGCGACAATCATGTATGAAGTGTACTCAGGATTACCTGGCCTATACATATACTATTTCTAAAGAAAAGAAGCCTACATGCATCCTCTGTAAGCTGGCTCACGTGGCTTTTTCGAAGAAATGTAAATTTTATTCCAATTAGCGTCTGGAAAGAAGATATAAAGTTCCCTTGGGAGACCGATGAAATGTGATGCCAATGATACTCGGAATCGTAATATCCCAGCACCTAAAGAAAATTTCGCTGCACAAGCACAGTGTTCTCTCTAACATGAACAAAGTAAAACTCCGAACAAGTCGAAGAATAACTTAAAAGTTAATGAAAAATAAATAATTTCTTCAGCAAATTCATGCAGATTGCCGAAAAATGCAAGGAAATTAAAATCAACTGTAGAAAGCTTTTGTACAGACTCGTATAACTTATTTTCCCAGTAATTAAGATAAATTTGAAAAAAAATTAGGCGTAACTCATACGTAATAAGGTAAACGATCCAATTCATTAAAAAAAAGTACCCTTATTGATACTTTCCTTTCCAGTCGGCCGTTTTCGATAAACAAACACTACTGATTGTCTCTTCATGATGACAACGTGTCACTTTCTTCTACTTCCCGTCACCAAGTCTCCGTCCCTTGAACACAATACCTTGAACACAATACTTCAATTGAGCTGGTGGCGATGAACCAGCCATAAATCAATATTGGTAATTAATATCGGTTTATGTAACTGTTCACAGTGATTTTAAAATTGAGTCTGTTGCTCAATTCATTAGACGAAATTCTTTAATAAGGAAATCTCCTGCGACTTTGTGAACTACTCTCAAGTATTTAGTTATGAGATTCTTCATGATGACAAAACAATTAGGCCTCTTGCACCACATACTATAATCGATGGCTATCAAAATCTCGTTACTTAAACTCCTCAAAGTTGGTTGCCTCTGATTTAATAATTAGTAGTTTTTAATTTTTTAACTTGTTTTCTTGGCTTGTATTGCATCTTGTATTTGTATAACTTTTATAGAGTTTGTTGCATCTCGCACATTGTATCTTGATTGTACCTTGTATGTCGATTTTTGTAGATAGTATTTGTATATGGATATCTATGTCTGGTATTTTATTTCGTCCCTCGTCCAGTTCTGAGGATATTATAACAGATTCTTAGTTTTGGCTTTCTGACCATTTGGTTGCCTCCCCCTTTTCTTCTTTCCTTTCTCTTGCCCTCGATTTCTCTTCAGAAATTCCCACGTCCGGAACTTTTATGTCATGTGCCTCTGGGTTTAATTCAAGGAACCGGCAAAATTGCTTTTTGCAATAGTTCGGTAATGATAACGAATCGTAGTCGTTTATGTAACCGCTATCAATCCTCGAAAAGGGAATATAGTTTTTGTAAGAAATGATATAAGTTAATCACTATTTCTCTGTCCATCCCTCGTATTTTGAAAAAGTTATTAAATGGAACCTGCCTTCCGTAAAACAGCATATAGTAGAATATTTTCAAAGTAACGGAAGCCTGGCATCAAACAAAGGGTACGTAAATCACTGAGATAGGAAGAGATTTCGTAACTTTTATTTACGGTAGTCGAAGAGTGATCTGTTCTTAAAACAACTGCCGAAATCAGCGGCGCAAGTGTGGCAGGATCTTCACCAACTTTCATGAACGACGGTAACATACATTGTGTACTATCATATTAGTAAATAAATACTAGTTAAATTTGTATATAAATAAGTAAACCTCCAAAAATTTAAAGTTAACGAAATAATAAATAAACATTAGAGTATAAATTAAATATTTAACAATAATTTCCTTTCTTTAATACAATTTTTTGGCAGTTTGATGAATAGGTAAACATAATATAAAATAATAAGTAAAACATCAGAATGGAATAAAATTATAAAAGTGTCTTCTAACGTAGAAAGGAAGATAAAGTTGAAAAAGTAGAAAGGAAAATATAGTTTCTTCAATCTTGTTCACTGTCGAAAGCTAAGATATTTAATTTTCTTCTTTCATGAAGTATTTTCAGTAATATTATCATTATGCAGATGACGAGCGATGATACGATAAAACTACAAAGTGCTATTTCAGTCCAGTTTGACGAAGTCTTCATAATAATAATCACCAGATTATTCATCTGAAATCAGGAAAAATTTACTATTAATCTATAAAAATAGATAAAATATAAAGCTCTTTACATAATTCTTTGTATTTTAGATTTTACACAAATTTTTTTATAGATCTTTATTATCTAAATTCTTCTTTTTAAAGCTCTTAAGTACAAATTTCTGGAAGTGATAGTCTTACCGGAGAGGTTTTTTCCTTGTGAATAGCGTTTTGGTTTTTCGTTTGCATTAAAATAATGAAGCCGAGAAGCAAGAGAGCCACAGCTAACAAAGTGCTCATAAATTTGAAATTTCCATGCTGATATTGAATGTTAACTCTGTGAAGCATTTCTGGTTTCATTTTTACTCTCTGAAACGAAGTAAATCATTCGCGTTTAATGATATGCGGTTTTAAATAAATTGCACTGTAAAGTTGTTGCTAAGAAACTGGTACTTTTATTGTTTTAAATACTAAATGAATTTGAAAATGCTGGGCTTTTTATATCTGAGAAAATGGCAACGGTCATTTTTTGACTTTTTATCATTTTTTGACTTTATATCATTCAGAAACTAGTTTTTTGCGCAATGGCATTCATTTAATTTGGTTTTCCTTTTTGCGTTGGTAAAATCTTAAAATTAATTCCGGTACTATTCCTTTTTGAGGGCCGTAAAAAAACTACAGCGAAAATGTATGCGCAAAAGCGCCAAATCTAGCAAACGCGCCCATTTAACAGCGCGCCAAATCTAGCGTACGCGCTGATTTCAGATTGTGGAACTTATATAAAGCAGATTGCAGAACTTATATAAAGCAGATTGCGGAACTTATATGCTTAAACTTATATAAAGTTTATATAGTTCTGTATTTCTTAAGACACCATTGAAATACCTAGTTTAACTTTGAAATCATTTTTTGATTTTAAATATTTTTTGATATCCTATGGATTTAACAATTTGGGAACTGCCCATGACGAAAACTCTGTAATAGAATTTTGAGTGAAGTGCAGAATCATCCACTGCTTGATGTGTTTTTAAGAATTGCACATACTCGGTATCCATGTGCACATCGACCTATTTTCACTTAAAAAAAAAAAATCCTATAATTGCACAAAAGTGGCATGCGCACACCCTTGACTTTATCTATGTCACATCGACCTATTTTCACTTAAAAAGGAAAGAAAATGACAAAAATCCGATTGTTTTTACCCTTGTAAAAAGCGGCAAACAAATAAGTGAGCGATTCTGCACTTTACCGAGATATTTTCAAAGAAAAGGCATCGTTCATTATAGAAAATTACGTTGAACAACAACGAGATGAAATTATGCTTAGCGATAAGTCGGTAGCGACGCAGGCATCCATTCAGTTATTTTAGCAATTTTTATATAAATTATAATAATGATCTGAAATAGTTATTTACTCTTATTCTTCCATTCAGTCATGATTAGCCTTTTTCATATAAATTATAATAATAAAAATGTATTATATGAAATTAACCTTTCATCTAAATTAAAACATCAATCTTAGATATTTATTTAAAATTATAATTCCTTTCTTGCCGCAATTATTTTTGGCAGCATTGGCATCAACAATAGTTCGGCGATTTTTTACGGCCCTCGAAATCAAATAGTACCTTAATTCCTGATCATCCGTCTGACCACGAAATTTTCAGATTTTCTTGAAAATGTTCACCTTGTTTGCGATAGTAAAAAATATCCGTAGAAATTTTCCAAATATATCCATCAAAATTTAGTGTTGTTTTGCCACGTTTTAACATTTGAATCATTTTGATGTTCTGAAGAATTTGGGAATACATCGTTTTCATAATCCTGGGATTATTACTTGACCTAGAGTTATCTATTCAATTCAAGTATATTCAATAGCAGTACACAGTGGCAAGCACGTTTAAGGAGGCTGCGGTCATAAGGTACCTTTATGATTTTCATCAATACCGTAACCTTGTTATAAATTATTATACATCTCTTGCAGATCTTTCTGTATGTTTTATGATAGTATTTTCCAAATTAAAAAGGTGTATACAGATGGAAGAAAAATAATACGAACACCTGTGAAATAATGGAAAATCTTTATTAATAGGGGGTTGGATCACCCTTTGACTGAAGTACAGATTGAATGCTATGTGGGATAGATGCATAAAGGTCATGGACAATATTTAAAGGAATATTAAGCCATTTCTCCTGCAGAGCGGTCTCTAATTCCGAAAGTCCGGATGGAGGTGGAAGTTGGGAACGAAGTTTGGACTCCAAATATGCCCATAAATGTTCAATAATATTCAAGTCCCGAGAATGAGGGGGCCAAGCAAAGATGTTCAATTGCATCGTCATGCTTTTCGAACCATTTCTGAATACACCTAGCAGTGTGGATAGGGGCGTTGTCGTCTTGAAAAAGGAAAAAGCAGTCGCTCCCCTGCGAATACACTCTGGACAAAAGGATGGACATGATCTCATACAGTGCTTATGCAGAATAACAAGTGGCCCAAGACCGCGCCAAGATATCGCACCCCATACCATAATGGCGGCACCCCCATATTTCACAGTCAGCAAGAGGCAGGATGAAAAGCTTCTTTGGGTGTTCTCCAGATATAAACGTGTCCGGTCGTCTGAAATAGGGTGAACGACGAATTATCAGATCATATTACTTGTTGCCACTGCTGTGGGGCCAGCCTTTGTGATATCTCCACCATTGGCGTCGCTTGAAAGCATTAATTGCTGTCACCAAGGGTTTACGAATTGTCACTCTGCCACAAATGTTCTGCCATGAAGTTCCCTTTTGACAGTTTTTGTTGAAACGGGGTCCTGGAGATGACTGATCATTTCGGATGCTATCTCGGATAACGATTGCTTGTGCTTTCGGGCTACTATGCGCTTTAAGACCCGTCTACCCGTATCAGCCAGCTTTGACTTTCGGCCACTGTTGTGCTTTTGAAGACGTTGTCTTACAGTCTTTCGTGTACGTTGTCATAACGGCTGATACCATACTCCTTGCACATCCCACAAAGTTTGCTGTTTTTCGTAACCGATGCTCCACTTAAACGCGCTCCAACTATCATTACTCTTTGGAACTCTGACATTTCAACTTCTCTCAGAGAGTTCGATCGAAGCATGCAACGCAGGTGACTGCTGTTGAGAGACTGATACCTTCCTCTTCATGCTCACTAGGTGGCAGACTTCTGTTGCAGGTGGCGTGGCTGTACTGCAGGTGTGAAATATGTCGTACTTTTTCACAGGTGTTCGCATTATTTTGTCCTCCATCTGTATTATCGCATTAAGTCTTTTCAAATTCTAATGTGACTGATAATCAAAATATTTAACTCACCCTCACCAGCATCCTCACCAGTGGCCAAGCGGACAAAACCGGTGAATGCTGATAGTTCTGGCTCGAACTAAGGCTAATGGGCTGGATGCATGGTTGGTTTTCGTGGTTTTTCCCTTACATAATGTAAATACCGGAAAGTGTCTCTTAGAGAGTCCTCCAAGATATCATCCCTTCTCTTAGGCAGATAGTTCTTGTGTGTTTTCCCGAATTCAAATCATCTAATCAAATCAGAATATTTAAAGTCGTCTGCAATTTATTCTTATTAGTATTACTAGGAAACATCCAGACAGAAATACCGTAACTGAGTATGGGAGAAATCGAGATTTTGTAACTATGTGACTTTGTAACTAAGTAAGTTTTATAGATAAACCGTAGGTTTTCAGCAGTTGTTGAACTGAATTTTATGTTGAAATAGCTGAAAACTTCTGGATAATGCTTGGATTTATAGAGCTTAATATAAGTCAAAAATTACCCAGAAATATATATATTGCTTAGCTCAGAGATAGTAGTATGAAATATTATTGTTTTCAAATAGCGATTGGTCAATGTTTCTTTTTCTCGCGAAAAGTGCTTGTCAACGATGACCTTTATTTTTCATTCAGGGTACTTTCCAATCCATGGATGTATATTTTCTGTACCAAGAATACAATTTAGAATGGGGATTGCAATGTCGTTTGCATACATTGAGAGAGTAGTGAAAAGTGTTTGTGAAATGTCTCTCTCATAAATTTTAAACAGCGTAAGCCTAAGGAAATAGCCTTGTAAAACTCCGAATTGAAACACTCGACGTGAGGAGAACGTGTTAGTAAGGCGTATGGCAAACTATCTACCAGTAAAATATGATTCGATGATGTGTGTGATGTCCCTTTAGAAAGCCAAGGTAAGGCTTGTGTATAAGATCATCCAATCCAAACATGATCGAAGGTTTTAGTTTATCAAGCATAAAATGTGTCAGAGATTTTCTTCCATAGCATATTGGTTTATATGTATTCATCTCTCTTTTAGTTTGCGTTTTTCTTTCTCTGATGAGTTTAGAAATATTAATTTTCGATCCTTAATAATATGCGAAATTACTCTGGAAACGAATGGTTAATTCATGCGACAGTAGGACATGGATATCGAGTATGTGCGCTATGCGTTAGGTTATGGCAAAGCACATGACAGATATCTAAGGTAAAGGATGTCTTCGCAAAGGATTATCTTAAAAACGCAATTTTACACAGCGCTTTATGCCTGCTGGTCTTCAAGTATGTGGTGAAATTTGCAGCTTTAAAATAGGAATGTTATTTCAAAGTATGAAAATCGGTCACAACATTTTGAGTAAATTTCTGCATGCGTTTCATTGGTGAGATATTAACACTTAACTTTTATTCTAAAATAAAGCAATTATTATTTAGTATTACAGCATTACTTAAAACCCCTTCGAGCCGGGTAGCGAAAACGCGCGCTTATCCCGGAGGCCGGCAGTGTCTTCCGCGAGCGTCTCTCCAGGGCCGGGGGCTTTTTTGCTACTAAGCCTAAAGCCATGAAATTTCCGAAGTATCAACGCATTGTTTAATAATGCTCTATAGAGTATTTAAAGGGCTTATACTTTATAGATATTTTTATATATATACTTTAATTACCTTATTTCTTGTTTAAATGCATATTTTTACACATTTATTTTAATTACTCACCATTTTATGACTTTTAACATTATAC